TGGTTGATAATGATCGAAAATTGTCGTTATTATTAAAATATATGATTTTCATTACATTGACTCTACATTGATTTCTTCTATTTAAAATTTGAATTAAATATCATGTTTATACATTCTTTTTCATACATTATTATTATCCAAATGAATTGACTTTTTAAGTCCTAATTAGAAAATCAAGTTTTTTATTCTGAATGTTTCGAATATCTTACTTTTAAAGAATTAAAAATTCATCGATGATATCATATGGGTATTCCTAGAATACCCTTCATTGAACTCTATAAGTTATTTTCTAGTTTTGTGGTATACACAAAATACACGGAAATAACTTTTCTCTATTGATTTTGTGATAGAATCAAGTACTGAGCACATTCAATATGCTACCTTTAATTAAACTAATCAGTACATCCAATTTCTGAATTGGTGATAATACATTAATTGATCTTACTAAATTAAAAATCGCAAAACAATGTTTGCACAATTTGCACATTAATGATCTGTAGTAACACAACTAAAAACATCACTCTGATCTGAATGAATATGCAGCTGATATTTCTATATAAGAACACAGACATCACATTTGTATCATCTCCCAATATGATTTTTCAGAATTATCTCTGCTTCAATGTCAATTATAATTGTTCATTCTTATAAGAATGTATAATTACTGGTCCACTTCTGAATGCAAAAAAATATTTTCTTGGCTTAGCACATTAATCCCGAAGTGATGATGTAGAAACGAAGCCATCTTTATTCTTTGAAGGATTAAAGTTCAGAGAATTTTCAAGGAGTGATATCAAGTTGCTACAATTCAAAGTACTAAGCTAGATAAAATCAAACTTTTAAACACTATAACAATTTTGAATAGTAATACGTGGCGAGACAAACGTTTTAGGTTATACAATATAAAACTGTTCACATTAAATACTGCGTCGTTAAGGACTGAGTTTTAAATCTGTATTTTTAAGTTCTATATTTAATAACGATCAAAATTGTAATCATTGATGTGATTATCATCCTTTGTCAATAGTCTACTTTCTTTAAGAAAGAGGGGGAGGGTATCCTCACCCTAACATATCCTAAAATTTTCCAAGTTTATAGACACTACTCTAAATGGTATGTATGTGCAATAAAAAGATTTGGTCAAAGATTGATCGAATTATTAATTGATGAAGTTGAAAATTAGTTAATAGTTTTATCACATGAGGCCTTTATCAAATATTTTTCAGTTTCCGACTTGATTTTTAAGGTGAGTAGATATTAGTGTAGTTTTGTAGTCAGACAAGTTGAACAATGACTTTTTTTATCGGTTTCAACTATAAGTTAGGTCTAACTAGTGACAGTCCAATGCGATAAATAATTTTCCTAGCATCAAAACAAACTAAAGCAAGTCGCATAATACATCATTCGTAAAAACATTTGTGAGAGGCATCACTTAACAGGCCCATTTCTTGTAAAAACTCTGATTTAAATACAAAATTTCGATTTTGTGAACAAAATATTGCAAAAATCGGTTCGCATTTGGTGGTTTTAACTCTTGTACTTGTATTCATGATTAAAATTAATATGATATTTGGAATCAGCATTTGAAAATCGAGTCGAATAGCATAGTTTATAATCAAAAAAATAGTTTTTGAAAACTCACGCCTGTATATCTCTTCAGGTTTTTTTGAAATACGGGTGAGTGTGATCATGAGTAAATGATAATAATAACACCCATACCCTCAAGATTGTGAGAATCATCGTATTGTTAAATGGAAATTAAACTCAAATATTGGTGAAATCACTGCATGGGTGGAAATGGAAAAGGAAATCAATTGAATCAGCCAGTAGATTTAATATTTGATGAAGAAAATCATTCTTTTATTATTTGTGATAATGGAAACGGACGAGTAATTTGATATTTTGATAAAAATCCAACAAAGCAACAAACTGTTATTCCACTTATTTATTGTTCTGGTCTAGCAATCGATAAAAATGGATCTATTTATGTATCTGATTGACAGAATCATCAAGTTAGACGGCCGAAATAACGAGATACAAAAGGTGAATTAGTTGCAGGTGGAAGTGATCAAGGAAATAAATTTAATCAACTTAATGAACCTCGTAATATCTTTATTGATAAAGATTGTTCTCTTTATGTATCAGATGAAAAGAATCATCGTGTAATGAAATGGAAAAAAGATGCAAAAGTAGGTGAAATTGTTGTTGGTGGAAATGGTTTTGGAACTCAATCAAATCAATTAAATTCTCCCATAGGTTTATCATTTAATAATGAAGAAAATCTTTATGTTGTTAATAATGGAAATGATCGAATCGAAAAATATGAAAAAATTTGAAAATTAAAAATATTCTTAATGTAATGTAATAACATTTTTATTTTTATTTTTGAAAATAAATAAAACTAAATTCGCTTTTTTCATTTTCAGAAAAAAAAGGAAATAAATGTTTTGTTAATTCTAATTTCAAGTTAACAAACTAAAATGAATAAAGTAATTTGGATAGAATTTTTGTTGAATGAATCAAATTAAAAGAATTTTTA